GAATTTTCCTCCTCATATCAGGAGGAAGTTATCATTCTTGCAATCAAGAACAGGAAGCTGAGGCTAAGGAAAATACATACCATCTTGTTAAACTGTTATCTTCTTAGTTACTTCTCCACTCAATTAGACTACCCTATCCCAAGGCTCTCTGCCTTGTGACATATTCATAATTTGCTAGTCTTCCTCCAATATGTGTTCCATTTTAACTGCATCTGTGGGTCTTCATTGTTGTATGAAGGATTCCATGTCGTATAACACTTGTATTAAATACATCTACATACTTTTCTCCTGTTGATCTGTCTCATGTCAATTGAATTTCGAGTCCAGCTGAAAAAAACCTGAGATAGAGATTCCTATATAAAGGGGGAGGAGATGGGCTCAGTCCCAATAGCTCCAAATCACTTTGCTCCACCTCCATTTTCTGCCTTCGCTCATTCAAACTCTTGCCTCCCTTCCTTCTAACTCTTCCATCGGCAGGCACAGTCTAGGACACACCCTTAGGTCCTCAGAGCTGATAAAGAGCGTCTTAGTTTATAAATACATTTTTACAGGAGGATTCTGATTGGCTCTAATAGTCACTTGCTACACCTTGGGCCAATCACTGTGACCAGATGGTTGGACTCCATGATTGGCAGCCCCAAGAGAAGCAAGGAGTGGGGGAGGTCATATTCAAGAAATAGGCTAGCTCCGTGGCTCAGCCTGTAATCCCAGCACTTTGGGAGGCCGAGAGTGGATTGCCTGAGCCAGCAGGCTCGATACCTGCCCAGACAACTTGGTGAGACCTTGTCTCTACAATAAATCAAAAAAATTAGCTGGGCCTGGTAGCGCGTGCCTGTAGTTCCAGCTACTTGGAAGGCTGAGGTGGAAGGATCGCCGGAGCCCTGCAGGTCGACTGCACCTTAGTCTGGGTGACGGAGTGAGACTCCAACTCAAAAAGAAAAAAAGAAAGAAACAGAACACATGGTGGGTCACGCCTGTAATCCTAGCACTTTGAGAGGCAGAGGTGAGAGGACCGCCTGAGCCCAGGGGTATGAGATCAACCTGGGCAACTTGGCAAGACTTCGTCTCTACAATAAATAAAAATATTAGCCAGGTGTGGTGTCTGGTTCCAGCTATTTGGAAGACAGAGGCAGAAATATCGCCTGAGTCTAGCAGGTCGAGGCTGTGGTGGCCATGAGCATGCCATGGCACTCCAGCCTGGGTGACAGAGTGAGACTCTGACTCAAAAAAAAAAAAAGGAAAAGGGAAATATGAAATGAAGGCAGCCAGAAACCCAAAGACCATATGTAACACAATTCCACACATGTCCAGATGAGTTATATCTGTAGATACAAAAAGTCAATTAGCTTGTTGGCTAGGGCTGGAGGAATTGGGAAGTTTGGAAGTGATGGCTGAAACATACACGTTTCATTTTTGGAGTGGCAAAAATGTTCTCAAACAGATTGAAGTGATGACTGTGCAACTCTATGAATACAAGGTCTGACGATTAAGTTCACGAACTTGCCACTGTGTACTTACACTGGTAGCACTGTACAAACAAGTCTGTAAGGTTTTCTAACCTTGGTATAGAAGACGTCTCACAGCTGTGTTCATGTCAACGTGTGGCAGTGTCTTGCTGAGGGGTGTTCATTATTTTATTTTATTTTATTTTTGTGTGAGAGTCTTACTCTGTTGCCCAGACTGGAGTGCGGTGGCCGCTCCTGGCCACCGCAGCCTCGACCTGCTGGGCTCTGGAGATCCTTCCACCTCA